GGGGAGGTGTTGGAATGATGCTATTGATACTTGAATTTGTTTGCTGATAAAGGTTACTTGGTGGATTACATTGGTTGCTAGCGGAAACTAATTTTATTTCTCGATAAATCAAATAGGTGTTGACATGTAATGTGATTTGAAGTTAAGATTTTGAGCTTGTTCTGCTGCATTTTCCCTGTTTCTTTCCAATGGGAATGGGTGAAAAATGAAATGATTTTACCAGAATGCATTTTAGCTCAATATCTTGAGCATGCTGACTTTGCTTTTTCTTTGGGGGTTCTCTTCCAACTGTTATAGCTTGTAAAATATTGTTAGGAACCAAGAATTCTGAAGAGAAAGAGAAGAAATATTTTATTGAATAGGATGAAAAAAACACAAAATAGGAGAGAAATATCTCCTCCAAAGTTTTCCCCTTCACAAAGGATTTCTCCTTTCATGGAGAGCTAAAGCTCAATTTACAAATGAAAAGATCTGAATCCTTTTCTCCCCTTCAGTCCTCCTATTTATTTATGTCACTGATTCACTAACAAACTAGTATTCAAATTTAAACTAACTCTCCTTCACTGTAGTCTTAACATGGCTTTAAGTCAGAAAAATGTGACTTGAATGGGTTGAAACTTGAAACTAGAGGCAGGCCAGTTTGTAAATAAAAATTTATTGTTTTGTATGTATTTGTGCATGGAAAGGTGATTGGGGTTATGCATGGTTGCATCATAGTGTCTATTGGTTTTTTCCTCCTTTATGAAGTTAATCCTACTTTAAGTTGAGCAGAATCATTGTTCTGACTCTGGATGATTTCTTATATAGAACACATGCTAGAAGGCCACAACATTTTGATGTGTAATTCGTATTTCTACTTTGTAGTTCATTCCTCATGCCTTCTTTGTAATTATACTGCCTCTATCATTTCGTGTGAGTCGAGTACTCCTAAAGATTCATTTTTTGTGTTTAGATTTTTTTTTGTTGATAATGGCCACCGAAGGTGTGACATTGTCATCAGGGTCGTCGGCTAGTGATAGGGTTTCAGCACAAGATGTCGAGGCCGAGATGTTAGCCTTCAACGCCGAAGTGGAAATGATTGGGGGTCATGCTGGGTCGGGCCCTGAGCGTAGTGGGGAGTCTGGGAGTTCTTCATCCGGGTCGGATTTGCCTGACGCCGAGATGAGCCCCGGGGATTATAGGCAGAAGTACCCTCTATGTGAAATCCGGGGGTATGATTGGGTCGATGGTGAGGTGGCGGCGTACTTCTCTCGTTTTCATGAGAGGGCTGCCGTGATACGTCTTCTTGGTCTTTGCACGTTAGGCCGATGGGAAGGTTGGGATCCTTATCCTATTCTGCTGCGTCGATGCCGGGCCGAAGGCCCTGGGGAGCTTGATCTGGTTTTTCTTGCGAAGCGGGAAGGAACCGGAGATTTTTTCTACATGTACGAGTGTTTCTTCCGAGAGCTCGGGATGTCGCTCCCCTTCGACGATTTTCAGATGGGGGTCCTTCGTGTGTTGAATGTGGCCCCGACGCAGTTGCACCCGAACGCATGGGCTTATATGCAAGCGTTCCGGGTGCTTTGTAAATACCACTACATAGAGCCGTCCGTAGGTTTATTTTTACATTTTTTCTGTACTCGTCCTTCGAATAAGACTGTTAAGTGGCTTTCTTTGGTTCGGAACGCCGACCGACCGTTGCTAACACCCTTCACGTCGTCTTTCAAGGGGTTCAAGTCGGGGTTTGTGAAGGTGATTATTGACCCCGTTGCCGGCCGAAATTACTTTTATGATGCCGAGCAGAAACCCCTTTTCCCTTTTTATTGGACTCGGCAGCCTCGGAAATACGATGATTTTCCGGAGGACATGATGACCGAAGCCGAGAAATATTTAAAAATATTTTTTTTAAAATTATTAAATATTATCTATTAATTTTTAAAACTATTAAATATTTTAAAAAATAAATAATATTTATTTTTATATAATTTAATCTTAAATTCTCAATATATATATATATAATTAATTTTAACCATGATGAAAATCAAATTATCATATCTAAAGTAAAAATTTAAAATTTATTTATCCAAACAAAATGTTTAAAAAATAATGAAAATTAAAAATCAAAATGATTCAAATTTTAAGAATTTTATTTTTTTTGAATTTCTAAAACTCCTTGTTGAAACACACATTTAACTAAATATGCACTTGATGAACTTCAGCACAGCAGACTATTATTTAACTTTTTTATACTTTATTTTGATTTAAAATTTGCATTTTTTTTTCTAAAGTAAAATCATTCTAGAAAGTTGCATGGGTCTAGTGCTGTATGTCATCTGACAGCATACTACATATTACAATAAAACACTACACTTAATATTTCCTTCGTCAAATAATATCAACATGCATGCCTTAAGATTATTTCAGTTTCATGATAATACATCATTTATTCAATAACCATCCCCAAAAAAAGTGCAATATTTACAAATTACCGTAACCATATTATGTAATCAATTTGAAGAAGGGAAACATTGGATTAATTGAAATGTGATGCCAGACCAATGTTACATTACACAATGAGAAAAATGTATGTAGTTTATCAACTCGCCACTTAAAAATCGTTATAGCATAAAAATAAAAGATTTTAATTAATTATTTGATTTTTGAAATTATGCACACTTTTCGTTTTATTCCATATATAAATATGAAGAAACTCTACATATTAGTTTCTATATGAACAGAATTTTTATCCCTTAGTCAATACCGTTAATTGCTATGTAACCCAGAAAAAGACGGATCCACAACTATGTAAAAGGGACAATTTATTTTAAATGATAAATTTAATAAATATTAAACAACCTGTTAAATATGTAACTTATAAATTTATATTTTTTTAAATCATAAAATTTATCAACATAAAATATATATCAACTTTTAATCAATCTCAATATAAAATTGAACATTTAATGAAAAATTTATCTTTTATCTTGTTTTTATGTTTATTGTTTTACCATCTACATAACTAAAAGTAATTTCTCAATTATAACAAGCAGAATCAATTAAACAATAAGTTAAATATTTATTCAATAATTATATATTTAAAATAATAAATATATTTTATCATAATACATTTTTTTTAAAGAGAGAGAGAGGGGGACAACTTTACAAATTTCTAAACTCCATTTTGTATAACACCATGCGTGTCTAAAGGTACTCGTGGAAATTGATGTTGAAAGATTTAGATATTAATTCATATCGTACTCACATAGTTTGGATATAAATTCATATTATATTTCATATATGATAAAAGAGATAATCAAACATGTTTTAACATATATCAATACTTTATGCATTTTGTCAGACACTACTTTAGTAAAGGTGCATGCCGAAAGCATCTTTATTCTTAAATTTCAAGCAATTTAAGTGCTAGGAATTTCTTGACGGTTTTCACATTATCACTTCACTCTCAATTAATCAATTTTATGGTGGTATTAGAATACCTAAAGTTATTGAAGTTACTTACAAACATCAACAAAGACTACTACATAAAAATTCTAGATAAAAGGTCAAAATTTAGACACAAGACCAAATGAGTAATTCAATCATTGAACCTGTCACCTCAACATACCAACAAGGCACACAAATAGTCCTCATATGACCATGTCAACAAAGATTTTATCATATAACGTACTCTTTGACTCCGGATGTCGAAGGTATCATCGATATATGGATTACGAGCCCCCAAATACCTGCAAGAGACATAATGAAAACCGTGAATTAAAAATAAAAACTAATGACTTCAAACATTATGTTACAAAAGGAAAGGAGAAAAATGAGAAAACAAAATGAGACCCCAATAATTTTCAAATAATGATATTGATACATACAGCATCCAGTATATCATCAGAGAGCTCGGTTTTATTTTGTTTGTTATCAGCAGCTATTGGCTTTGTCTGAGGGAAATGACGAACCACTTTTGCCACTTGGAATGATTCTTGTTGAACCTTTGGCTTCTGCACAAGCCAGAATGAAATGAAGTCAGTATGAACTGATTCCTCAATATACATATTATTCATTGAAATTTGTAAAACTATATATGAAAAGAAACCACTGTAGACATCATTAACCAACTTTCCATTACCATATGTGTGAAGCTAATTATATAAGACAGTATAAAAATCATAAGCAAAAAACACCACATAACCATCAACAAATGCATTATAATTAAAGAATATGTTGTGGCTTCAAGGAGTTAAAATAAGTTCTCCCATTACATAAGACAATCGTAGCTACATAGCTTGTCAATCTACCTTAGTTTTAAGTAGTTATAATAATTCAAATAAGAACAAGTTATACAGGTCAATGATTAAGAAAGTATAGTGGACCACAAAATAAAAGAGGATCAGAAATTCATAATACACAATTTTCTGGGAATTGTGAAGATGAGACAGATCTGGCAATTATGATATCAAATGTTATCAAGGAGTAAGCATTTCTACTCTATGTGTTTAAAAAATATTTCTTGGTTTGAATGAACAAGAAATGGGTAGTTCTCTCTTATCTTCATTTATAGATCAACATTTTCTGTATTTTTCTTGGTTGGTTCAAGATTTTGTAACATGCTTTTTTCTGGTATTTGGTGGTATCATATCATATAAGCAGAATAGTAAGAGTGTATTTCCATTAAGCAAACAACTAAGAGGTAGTTTTTTTTTTTCCTGATTGAACTTGTCAACTTTCAAATATCATGTGTCAATTGGTTTGTCAGAAAATGGGAAAGCATTTTTTGTAGAAGAATTTAAAAATATCTCCATTAATTGGGGCATGAAATTGAGCAAGTGATAAAGCTTACTGTCTGAATTGGTAACAGAATACAAAGGCTACTCTAATAAGCTATTCTAACAAGTTTTTCTAGATCAATGATTTGTTGTCTCTTGTTGATGCAATAGGTTACTTTATACAACTTTCTGATTTCTACTTGCGGGAAATGCAAGAACTCTGATAAGGCTATTCAGGTACTCATCACTATCTCTTGTAGTCATGCATTTAAAATACTATATTAGAAGTGTTTATTGCTTCCTTCTCCTTAGATGTATGATTTATTTGTTTTCCTTTGAAATGAAGATTTTGGAGGAGATGAAATGCATGGAAGTAAAGCCAAATGTACAAACCTACATCTGCTTGCTAAATGCTTGTGCTGCCGATGGACGTGTAGACCGAGTGTATGTTATAATGCTACTTCTTTTACTATCTAATACATTCTTTACAATGACTTTTGCTATTGTTCCTCCCTTCAAGAACACCATTGTCTGTTTTCACAATGCTGTTTTTTGTTGTCATTCGATACCCAAGTATTGGTGTTTTATTTTTCACATTTGTTATGGACATTAAGAGTAGCATTAACATCTCATAAGTTATGAGATGCTATTCTCACTGGCCTAATAAGTAAAACCTGGATGCCTACAATTTATATCCTTTTCTTTTTTGCATTGAGTAAGGTAGGGGATTTGCTACTTCTAGTTGTCTATTTTTTTTGGTATCCAAGTGTATATCAGCATTCAGCATCATCAAGTTGCCTTTTAAATGCACGTTTTATTTACTTTTTAATATTTAATTATAATTATTGAAACATATTGATCCAGGTATGCAATTGTCCGTGACATGACTGCAGCTGGTCTTGGATTAAACAAGTTCTGTTATGCTGGGCTTATAGTTGCACACAAGAATAAAACTCCTCTTGTTGATGATTTTGCTGCAAAAGTAGTTACCATATCTAATTTTTTTTTTTGGCATGCATCTATGCTGTAATTGTCCAGTGATGGTTAAACTTTTTCTTCTGTGGAAAAAAAGGTTATTGAGTTTGTGGAGAGGTCAAAGATGTGGTCTTCAGTCGAAACCAATAGTGCCAATGCTGAGAATGTGATGATGGGTGTTACAGATGAGGAGTTATACAACTTACCAACTGCAGAATATGTTAATAGACGTGCAGGATTTTTTAATAGACCATTTACAGCATATCACGCAGCATTTCATGCTGCTGCAGACCTGAAAAATGTTGAGGTATGAGATCTCATGTCTATTGGAACTTTGATGCTATTCTTGAATGATTCTTCGTATTGTGCTTCTGTTAGGAACCAAGGATAAGGAATGAGAAATAAAAGACAGATTTTATTGGATAGGATGAAAAGAACACAAAATAGGAGAGAATTATCACCTCCAAGGCTTTCCCCTTTTTCAACCGAGTTACTGCTCTATTACCACAAAGGCTTAGTAAACTGAATGCCTCCCCACTACCTAGTATCCACCTATTTATAGATATGATGAGTTTGACCCATGATATCTTTTTAATTAATAACTACTCTAATTTTCTTTATATCCTGACAGCTTCTGATTTCTTCTGATACTGTCTGTTTTTGTGTGATGTGAAATCATTCAACCATTTGACTTTTAGATGGATTAAATTATCAGCATAAATCTTGTAGAAATTGGTTGCACGTGATATTTGAATCTGGGCATTATTTTGGAGTTTAAGGTAGATCATGATATCCACTTTTCTAGTTAATATTGTATATTTCTTGCAAATAATATTTAGCCAAATTAATCTTCCTTTCTTATGGCCATTATTCTGAAAGTTATCGTATAATGGTTAGTCGGTTACAGTCTACTAAGCAGAAAATAGAGACTAAATGAACAATAGTAATATGACTCAAGATAACCAACAGATATGATTTCTAGTTGCCACTTTGGACCAATAAACTCAGTTAGAAACTTAAAATATTGCCACCATCCACAATTATTGTAGTTTACTATCAGGAGCTAGGTGGGGAGGGGGGAAACAGTTAATTATCTATTAAATTTGAAATAGACCTAATGACCTATCATAAGTAGCAAGTGTGCATTAGGCCAAATTTTCTGGTCTGCTTTGTAAAGGAATTATTGTGGTTTAGATTACTTGAATGAACTTACCTGCCCAAAACAGTGTCTCCTCGTTTTTGGGGGCAGGGAGATGGATAGAGACATTTTGGTAAAATAAATTGCATTCAAGATGAGGTTAGTAGTTTTATATTCTACATATCAACGATGAAAGTCTAAGTCTTTATGGAGCTGCATGTATACTACAAACTACTACACATTGGCTTGGAATTTGTTTAGCCTTTTTAGTTTATAGTATACGTGATGGTTAAGCATTGTTAAAGAGAAAGTTGCAATTTGCTATAATTTATATTTTATTTAGATAATATATTGTACAATGTCAACATTTGATTTTGATTATGATACTTCCTTTTGCTTTTTAGAGATTTCTATTTCTAGATGCAAGAAAGAAAAGAAAAAAAACAATTTCTGGTTTGCTGTTAAAGCATTTTTTTTCTCCCAATTTAGTTGTCAATGAAGGGCTTGTATCATAGTTGAATATATTATTTGAAAATTTCTTTTTGTAACAGTAACATGTCCCCTACCACCCTATGTTATTAAACTTGGATCAGATTTTGGCCTATGAATTGCCGGTCTGTTTATATGTCAGAATGTGCTATTTTATTATAGTGATCGAACCAAGTAGAGTCCAGCTTGAAAATAAGGGCTTATGAAATCTTCAATAATTGAACTTGATCAGCTCTTGTCAATTAGATGTTTTCTTCACTTTGGGTTTGGGATGCCATCACACATGGATTCTTTCTTTCTCTCTGTCTACCTAAACTACATGACATCTCTGGTTTTCATTTCCTATTCAAATTTGATTTTATTTTCACACTTGTTAATTTCTATTGTTTTAAATTATGTTTTAATATATGCATGTTTGGTATCTAATCATGGCAGTTAACGGACACACTTTTGGAAATGCTGAACAAGGAGGGGAAAACTCCTGATATCTTTATTATGATGCAAGTAATTAGGTAATCAATTGTTGGCTATTAATCTCTATAGTTTGTCTTGTTTAGATAACTTGATAAACATGTAAACTAGTATACAATGTTGTCAAACTTGAGAGTTTACGTAAACTCTTTGAGGTTCAATAAACTCGAATTGTAAACTCAAATCATAAACTTGTAAGCGTTTACTTATATAAAAAAAAATATTAAAATCCTATAAATAACATAATAACTCAACATTTCAACTCCATATTAAATTTGTACCTTCTCGGATATATTCCAACATGTATCATTCGAGATGGAGGAGACAAAGTTACGTGATAAATTGACCTATCTTAAATCGGTTTGGATTGAAACCAACCTCTTCGTTTGATGGATAGTCGACTAGGCTAGGAACAAGGAGGGTTGACAGAATTAATCCAATCCCTCATACTTAAGGGAAGTCAGAATAATTCCGATCCTAGAAAATCTAGTCTAGAATCTTATCTTTAATAATCAAGATCACGCATCAAGATATGATACCCAATGATAAATAACTACCTTATCAAATCCCAAAATTCTCGAGGCTCATAAACCCATGACAGCCAAGTATAAAATCCCTAATCCTAGAGCAAGGATGACAAATTACACTTTTAAATGCTCTGACTTTGGTTGAGCGGCTAGATTAATCCCTAGAACATTCTCCAGATCAGAACAAAAGCAAAATAGCAAATTACAATAATAAAGTAGCAAATCATGCATAATTTCATATAGAACTAGGGACAAGTGGAGCCAATATTAGTACCAAATAGCAAATGAGTAACTCAAACCCAAACCACTAGAAGCCCTAAAACACGATACCACGAGAACGACCTTGGAACCTTGCAATAGAGGATGTGACCCAGACAAACAAAACCATCAACGTGCAAATTGCACTTGATGCACTATGTTTTGGGTTCAGCAATCAAGATTGTATGAGAAACAACCAAATCATGGGAGAAAATGAAAACCTAATTCAAAACATGGTTTTTGGTGTAGTTTTGGGCCTTTTTTAAGTGATCCACGTAGACACATAGAATCACGTCAAACTCGCAAATTTGTACGAGCTTGTGTGATTTTGGTTGAGTTTGCACAAGTCTAGTTGAAAACGATTCTGCAAACAAGTTAAACAGGTTGGGGTACACACACTCATAAACTCAGAAGTTTTAACAAGCTAAAACTCGATTTTGACAACTATGCTAGTATACTACCAATTAGTAGCTTTGTATTGGTAAGTATATTCAGCAAACGAGTTAAACAGGTTGGGGGTATTTATGCTGCTTCAATTTAGAATTTATGCTTGCCTTTAGTGCATGCCATCATCTATAATTTTATTATCTTAAATCTTAATGCTGCCAGTGGTCTATGGTGCCATGCTGCACATCTGCCACTATTTTTGTAGTGGATGATGTGGTGGCACTGTGCTGAAGCAAGTACCCATTTAATAAAGTCACCTATAGAAAGTAAACAAAATTACTTCTTAAATCTTCAAGATCACTTCCAAAATCTGCAAGATCAGCGGCAGTAGGAGCAGTTCCTTTCTCTTCGCCTTCCAAAATCTTTGACCAGTGGAAAGTACTTCTATTTTTTTTAATATATTTTTTTGCGTAAATAATTTCTTTGAATCTATTGCTTCTTTTGAAGGTTGCCTTCGGTCATATGAAGGGTTGCTTTTGCAATATAATTTAGTACTTTAAAACTAAAAAATCTGTTGCATTTATAATATTTTACTAGTTAGGAAACATTTAGCATTCTATGTTTTGTTCAATTTCCAATGTTCAAAACACTTTTATTGAATTGTTATAAAAACACCTTGTCTTCTGATGGTATTTCTTGACATGAAGTTAACAAACCCAAATGCATTATTATACATACCTTAGTCATTTTAACGCTTTCTAGTGTATGGACTATGGCATGTAATTTAAGTGTAAGCCATGGTAGATTTTGGTCTTAAAATTTTTGTTGGCATTCTTCTATAGGAGGTTAATTAATGAGATGCCTTTATACATTAGAGTATAAAGGAGAGTTTCATTAAGAACAGAAGCAATATGTTTTAAGAAATGAAATGTCTCAAAAAAAGAGGAAGACTTGTAGATTTAAATAATTATAATTATTCAAATACATATACATACTAATGAATGATAGATAAGATAAGGTTACCAAATTGAATACTATGTTTTGCCAAGCCTGTGATTTTAATATGACTTGTGTAGCAACCCACAAAGTTATTGCAATCACTCGGTAAGCAACAATGCTAAATTGCTAATTACAAATAAGTCACTGTCACTCCCTAGGGCCTAATGTCAGCCAAGAAGACGAGATGCTTTAAATTCTCGGGATTCGCTAAACATTTGATATCATTACCCAATGCTAAATATGAAACTGTTAAGGGTGCATGTTGTTTTTAAAGTCTTCTTATGTTTGTAATCTTATCAGGCTATGTTTGTAAAGTCTTATTACTAGATATACTACATTAATACTGGACCTAGATTATTATTACTGTAATAAAAGCACAAGGTTAATTTAGAAAATTCTTCGAAACCCGTTCTCTCTTTCCCACCTTTTTCCCTTAAGTTTCAACAAAACTACATGACTGAACCTATCCAATTAAAGGATGCTGCTAATAGTGGTCGTGAAGTAAGAAAAAGGCATTCATGTAACCATCGATTTTGCTCAACTTGAATGAATTACAGTTGTTGAAGAAAGTGAATATGGTTTCAATTTGAACTTTTTTTTTTGGCTCTATGCTGGATCCTTCTCCCTTCTGTTTTATTCTACTGGTATTTGTTATCCAATTGCATTGTTAAAAAAAATCAGTTTATCTCTGTTTTACCATTATGCAGATGCTATTGTCAAGCGGGAGATATTGAACGTGGTCTTCAAACTTTCGAGAAACACATAAATGCGGGAGGGGCTATTGCTGCAGAACTTTATGTGGTGAGTTTGGTCATGCAGTTTCTAGGATTTTCAATGCCAAATTTTGTAGCTTAATGCTTGCTTTAACAATCAAAGTTATACAAACCATGATTGCAGACACTTGCAGAAGGAGCAATGGTTGGTTACACTGAAAAAGGAATGCAAATTGCTCAAGATATTCTGGTTGGTCGTCATTGTTTTGTCATCAACTTTGTTACAATGTGATTTTTTTGATCTGTTTAAAGACAAAATTTATTTTTATAAATGTAGGTAAGGATGAATGAAAGAAACTTTTTCATGAATAACAAGTTGGGAAGTGAGCTCCTGCTTTTAGCTGCCAGAGAAAAGGTATGCAAACTCTATCTCATTACATGCTTGATACAAGATAGTTTATATTTGTTGCCCAGGATTTTAAAGTGTGCATTTTATTCTTATTTCTTAAATGGCAGACTGGGGGATATTCCGCTGCTAACTACATATGGGACATGATGCGAGCTCGTAATATTACCCCTACGTATCCTGCAGTAGAAGCATATTACCGTGGCTTAAAAGTGAGTTATTCACCTCAGTAATGTATCATGTTTTTATTTGCTTTGAAATATTTTCTCTTGATAATTTTTATATTCATATTTGTGGTAAAGAGTTATGACTGGTACGTTGCAGAGGTTGAAATTCTCTAATCTCAATCGGGGACAATAATTAGTAATTTAGTATCAGTTTAATTTTGATCCACTATCACTGAAAATCCTTTTGTAACATCGCTTAGAGTTTAACTTCTGATTTAATTACATTACGTTATTGTCATTGATAAACTCCTTTAATAGTGTGATATAATTCAAGGTTAGATGGTGTAATTACACTAACCGTAGATCACAGTTGAACTCATTTATACTAGGTTGGGAAAGTAACTCATATTTTCTGCCTGGAAAGGAGCACAATGAGTTTTCTTTTCTATGTTCTCTGAATGATTCCTTGTACAGATATACTTTGAAATGCTTGTATATTATGTTTAAAATTTTGAACAAATGAAAGACTACACTTGAAGGATGTGAAAAATGTTGGGATATAAGTGATTCACTTTTTAAAATTGTTTTCTAATGGTCACATGTCATCTAGTCAAGCTATTTTACCATTAACTCGACTCTTGATGTTTACTGTCCTCTGTGCGGAATTGCAGGATCGTGAGATCCCTGAAGATGATCCAAGACTTCTATTGGTTTCTCGAACTTATGACAACCTTAGCGCAAGATTCGGGAACAGGGTGAACTTTTGATAGAGATTTAGGCTCTTCCCTTATTGTTAAGAAATCTTTTGGGTGCTGATGAGTTTTCTATTTGAAGAGAATCCATGAGTTTCCAGAATTATTTGTTTGATACATGTATGACATGGTACGTAGATCCCATGTATTCATTAACACAGGATTTTGATCCCATGTAACTAAGTGATGGTATTTTAGGAGATTATGTAGAGAATTTTTACCTATTCCAACCATTTACGTTTTTCTTTTTTGAAATAATTCTGGGTGTGAATATATGTGGTAGCATTGATGTTAAGTTATTTCAATGTCAATGTTGTCATTTCAGACTCTAAAGTTGGCTATAAATTGTAATATACACTAATCTCTTTTAATTGTTGAGTGATGACTTGACACGATTATTATTACCTCAAGAAGGAAGAAAAAGTCACTAATTAGTGAACTCTAATACAATAATGGTTTTTTAAGCTTGATCTTGTATGGTTTTTTGTCTGTCCTGATGGAAGTTGATTTTTCAGTATTATGATGTATTCTGTCGTTTATATGCAAAAGATTGTACTCTATTTTCTTGTGCTTTTTATTTCTTGATTTTGGTCTTGATGGAAATGAATCTTGCTTCCAGCATATTGCTAAGCTACGTCCTAAATTGGGTAGAGTACAAGTAATCAAATTGTAAATGTAATTAAGCAGGATAATTTGTAAATATTCAAATGATGGAATTGTTTAATTTTTTACGTATTGATAATAAAATCATGATGTAGATATACAGAATATAGTGATACATTTTGATTAAATGATGCAGATTGTGTAGGCTTAATTAACATTTTTGTCTTTACAGTATATGGTTACTTTGTCAGAAAAATTCTATTTTGTTTCATATATTCATATTATTTATTTCATTTTTGAGTGGTGATAGATGAATTTTTATTTTAGATTTTACTATTTCATTAATTCACACTAAGGGTGAGCATGAAATCGAGACCTGAACTGAACTCGAAAAATCCGATAAAAAATATTATTTTTAAGTGGGTTCAGACATGTTTTATAGGTAAATTGGGTTAAAATTTTGATTGTATACATATTATATTGGGCGGGTTCGATTTTGAATTTTTAAACTTGCTAAAAAACAAACTCAATCGAAAATGAGATAAACTTAGATTTTTATTACTTTTGTATAATTAAACAATAGTCCAAACTTAAAATTTTTTATTTCAAGTATAATATAGTCATCAATTTGTAACTTTTTTTTTTCTTCTTTTTCTCATAAGCTAGATGTTTCTTTTGTCTTCTTCCTCATTCAACTTCACAATTCACTAGTCCACTTTTAGAGTTTTCTTTTTATTTCTTTCTTTGTCTTTCTTTTCCATCTTCTTATCTTCATTTTGAGTACAACTTGTGCAACTGTGATTTCTTATGGATTTTATAATCTAACTTTAGATTTCTTTTGCATGTAACAATTATGAATTTTGTTATCTTTTGTTTTTGTTTCTTTAGTTTGTAAATGTTTCATATACGAATGTACTTACACTATCTATTATTACCTTCATTTTATTTTTGTACACTATTTTAAATTTTTTTTTTATCGTTTTAAGCTTCCTCTTCGTTAAGATAACTTAGTCTACAAAAAATCTTAAACCCGATTATACTCACTCGCTCAAATCCGAATCCGTTTCAACCCGAACTGTCTCAAATCAAAAGCTCAGTCGGTCAGATATGAGTTACATTTTTCCAAAGTCAGTTTACAATGGGTTGAACACTTTTCACCCGAATCTGATCGAATTTGCACGTTACCCACCCCTAATCCACACACTCTTTATATATATATAGAATGATCGATTAAACTAACACGTCAAATTTAAAAGATTATTGTTATGGACAACATTAACTCAAACTCAGAAAATGAAAAGATAAAGATAAAGTTCTTAAGAAATAAAAGACAATAAATTTTAACAATTATAAATAACTAAAAATAAATTTTAACTAAAAAAAAAAAAAAAAAAAAACAACAACAACAACAACAACACTTCCATTAAAGAGTGAGGCCAACTGCTCCCATTAAATTTTTTTTATTATTTGTAATTATAGTATATTATAAATATTGTTTCCTCTAATTTATTTTAATTCAATTATTTTTATTCTCTCAATTAGATATTCTTAATATTATTTCTATTTTTTAATATGAATTTTACATATTACTTTTGTAACTAAAAAAATTCGTTCAATTATGTCAAATTATATTCTTTTTATCTTTACATAATGGGCTACGTAAATTACATCATTGCCCATTTATGATCCACGACCCCAACCCAAGGCCTGAATACATAACATACAAAATCCCTATCTTAAAAACTAAAGCAGTATTCGAACTTGAATCGAAGTAGGCAAAGTTTTAAAAATCTTTATTTTTAATCTTAATTTTAATTGAGGATTATTTTTTTTTAACTAACACATCTCTTACCTTGCCTGCTTCTAGTGATGTGGATTCGGCATGTTGTCCTGATACTCGAAGGTTTTGGGTGATGTATCGTTCTTGGTCGTGCTCTAATTTCATGGAAGAGTAAGAAAGTAAGTCCGAAATTTCAAATCATTCACTGCATTCTGAATATCAAGCTATGTCTACGACTTATTCTGAGATTACTTGATTTTGTGATTTGTTCGCAGAACTTGAAATTCCTCAAACCACTACAACACTCCTATATGCCAATTTAGATTGTTACAAATTCAATGTTTTATGATGAACCAAACATATTATGATGAATTGGAAGATGATCATGTTATCACTATTTTTCATGTCATTTACTTTAACTCACTAATATTGTTTACAAAGTTGTTCCTTGTACTACCATAAATTTTTACATAACAAATTAATGTTTCTCGATCAACTGCATCAATTTGAGGGAATGTTAAATAAAAAATATATCATTATTCTATTTTTTATTATATGGAGTGAATATTAAAAATAATATCAATAATTATTATTCTTTCCAAATAATTAAATTGTAAAATTAAGAATCAACTTATAATAATTATAGACCAGAATATAATGAGAGAGCCAAAAACTCATGACAAAATTAAAGCTATAATCTTGATTCTACTTGTGGTACATTAATGGAGTTCTTAATCATGGAGGCAATCCTTTTGTACCTTTAAAGTATTTCTTTTCTTTAGATGAAGCACGCAAACCATTTTGTTTGAGCCTTCAAGGCACTATGCACAAATAAATCCCACATCGAAAGGTGAGCTGATGTAACAAAGAGGATGGGTTATAAAACTAAAATATATGACCCATTACAACATACTTACCTAGATGGGGTCAATGGGTGATCAAGAATGCCTATGGCCTAGGGGAGTGACCTCCATTGCACTTAGGAGGGGTGTTTCTCTAAGGTCTGCCCAAGTGGCAGAGTCTACATCATAATTTGTGGTAATAGGGGCTTGCGTTCGCGCAGTCCCTTCCAATAGAGTTTCTAATTTTTATTTTTTTACCTTTGTGTTTATTACATTCTCTTGTTCACTTTGAATGACATTCTAGTGATCTCAAGTATGTTACTCTCCATATTGGTTTCTTTTGTTATGCTCACTCTCTATATCGATTTCTTCAAACTCTGAATTATAACTTTCTATGGGATTGCTAGCCTTTAATTATAATCTGAAATATGACCACAAATTTTGCTGTTTTAATTTTGTTAGCTTATTGTGATAACAGTGTTGTTAACGGTATGGCGATGGCAGCCTCGATCCGTTATGGCCGTTTAGACTATGTATGGGGGTCACCATTTTGAAGATGGCGGCCGTTATGGCAGTTTAGGCATGGAGTGGCAGCATGGTGCTCTTTTGGGCCATTTTTTTTTTCTGATTTGGGCCATTTTTTTTCTTTTTCGGTTTGGGCCTAGTTTCTTTCCCGGGTTGGGCACTCAACACATAAAATAGGGTTGCAGAAATCCTAATACATAATAGCCTCTCTTCCGTGCAACCCGCGGCTGCTCCGACAAGACCCCCTACCACCGTCGATTCCGCCTGCCACCATCGCCTCTAACGTGGCCGCCACCATCACGTACGACGTGACTTTCTTCTCCCCCCCCGCGTGCACCATTGTCGTGCCACCCAAACCTCCGCGCACGCCACCCTAACCTCCCCGCGAGCCACCGTCACCTCCGCGCGCGCCACCGTCACCTCCGAGCGCGCCACCGCTACCTTCGACGAGACTTTCTTCCATCGCCGTTGCCATTTAATCTTTTTGTTGGTTAGGAATTTATGTTTCTTTATGATGCCTGTTATTACATTATGAATGCCATGAATTTTAGATTATTATATTGTTGGTTTTAATATGTATTTGTTATTTTTCTGTTTTTGCATCATATTATATATATATATATATATATATATATACTTCCGATCTTTTACTTTTGTTTTTTATTTATCCGCTATGGCATCTTCCATGTCGATATTATATATAACCTTATTGATAACCTTGTGTGATAATGGGTGAATTTGTTGAAACTTATTAGTGATGCTTTATTTACTGTTTCTGCATAAGTCTCAGACAATTTTGCAGGAATCTGTTCAGTTTTTCATTTTCCTATTTCCTCTTTGATGGAGGATGAATAAGTTTGATTTTGGAAGCAATTGATAAACCTTATTATAATGATGCTTCATATGTGGATTTCGAAAATAAATGAACACAATATGCTTGAATCATGACTAACTCATATTTGTGATAATTATTAATTACTAACTGGACAAACAGAAATAAAAAAAAAACATAGATCCATGTAGTTTCTGCAGGAGAAAAGGATGTGGGAGAGTTTAACTGATGCAGACGACATTTTTTTTAATATAGTATTTTTTTCTTTTAATATTCGATGACCAAAATTCGGACTTGAGAGAGTTATAGATACACTTGAGTTTGTGCAACCCAAATTAAAACTACACTATATAATAGACACAACTAACCAAAATAAAATCAACCACAGTTTTCCATGTCTACAAAGAACTAACCTTACTAAACTACCTAGACTCCAATCGTTGTTGTGTCAGTTAAGACACCCAAATGTAACATGACCTTAGTAAAAAGTCAATGCAAGAGATTCTCCTACTTTTTCCTGTTCTGTCACATGAATTCTATCTGGTCCAAATTATATTGATTAGAGTCTCAAATGCATGGCAATGACTATAATATCATCAACTTATTCCAATTACACATAAAGATGTCATGCACTTGGTATGGATTTCTGAAGGTGGCTGTCAGGTTGAGTACTTGTGAATTAAGATTCTTCCAACCTAAGAAAATGTCGAGTCTGTGCACCTCAGTCAAGATTTTGCTTTGTCCTTGTAACAACAAAGAAAAGCAAGCATAAACATATCTCTTGTGACAATCAACCCAAGAGAGATGGCTGAATTTTCT